TGGACATAATTTAAAATCTAAAACCTTTGAGATTTTTAATTTACCTTTTTTATTTTATTTAATTAGTTATTTATTTATTTTCATCTTATCTAATGGCCTTCCGTAGGGCTCCATGACTTCTAATTTAAAAAATTAAACCCTGACTGCAGCCAACAATTGCGAAAATAAGAGCCAGGTATCCATCTTCCTATCATATATATAGGCTATATTCCTATCATATATATATACATTTTACATTTAATTATAATTTATTTAATATATATATTTACATTTGGTAGTATTGCCGATTGCAATAAAAAAAGGGTGATGCACATATAGATGTTATAGCGATCACATATACAAAATTTCAACGTTCTACAGCTAATCAATTTTGAGTTATGCGAAATGTATACATTCGTAGGTACACGTCATGAAAAAATCCCATTTAAGTATATCAGCTTAGAGTGATATCTCTAATCCCACCAAGACCAACTTATACTCGCCTACCCAGTGTAAAAATATTCTTTTGTGTTTTCGGTGGCCTCCGTGAAAATTCTACTGATCGCAAGATGGCGCTAGTAATCCGCTACGCTTTGCGACGTCAACAATGAGCAGAATGGTACCCGAGACAAATAATTGTCTTGTTATATGCAAAATTTAAAAACGATTAATATGTAGTAGTCAGAATTATACATATCATTTTAATAAAAATATTTTTATTTAGAAAGAGAGCATGAAATTTCAAGTTATCCCATTTTTTTTTTCTTATGTAACCGTCAGCTACTTGATTCTGATTTTAATTCCTGCTTGCGTCTAGATATACGCTATTTTTAATTGTACTTATTAGAGTTACCTGTTCTAATTTAAGGGTTATTTAGAGCATATGTTTTACTTTAAGATTATTTATAGAGTACGAAGTTAGCAGTTAGCTTCAGAATATAAACTATTTCAGCGCAAATTTTTCATCGTATTAATATCAGTTGTGCTGTGCAACAAAATAATTTGAAACCAATATTAAATATGTAATTAAGAAATTAAGAAATGATGAAAGTAAATTTGTTAATACATAAGAGAAAAAGCACTTCTTATAAGAAATTTGGCTTTAGGTACTGAAATATTTTTCTTATTTTTAATTAACATAAAATACTTTTCTAGGAAATATTAAGAAATAAAATTTTAAATAATGCAAATTTAGAGCTCTGAAGAGTAAACGCAACACTACAGATATTCGAAATAATACCAAGTATTTCAATACCACCGACAGTATATAATAATGACGTAAATGATATTAATCACAATGAATCTTATTTAAAATTTTAAGCCTGTTAGTGATGAATACCAAGTATTTTAATATTACGTACAGCATGTAATAATATGTATGACATTAATCACAATGAATCATATACTCCCTCTGTCCCAAATTAGTTGCTACATTTGAGTACTGATTATTGATACTGAAGATTTCATGATTTTGTTTGCACATTCTCCATAAATTTCAGGGTGCTACGCTATCAATCAACAACTTTACTTCCCAAGCATTCCCTCCTGAAATCAGTGCCAAATTAGTTTCAAAAATGCAGCTTTCGCATACCCTTAAGCCACGCCCCATTTTGTAAGGACTTAACCATCAGTAATCGCTTAAAATATTCAGGCTAATTAAATGCAAATTCAATTATCTGCCTTGTGTATACGAGCCAGTTTGCCTTAGAAATTCTTCCACGATGGCATCCCTCACCTTAGACAGACAGTCCTCGAGGCTTTGCCTTAATCACATAAACACAATCTTTCTGAAATACGGGCGGTATAGTCCTTACAAAATGGGGCGTGGCTTAAGAGCGTGGGAACCAACCCCCTAAATTTGCGTCTATAAAATTGTACAAAAATAAGTGCTACATTTGTGGAGAGTAAAAAATGACAATGAAAACCTAGTATGCAACGTTACATTCCTTGTAGTACACCTTATAATTTTACAGATGTCCATCTTACTAAACTGCATCGAAATTTATTTATGACTCCACCTACTTGAAATGTAACTCCTAATTTGAGACTAAACTTTCGATCGAAGTATAGCAACTAGTTTGGGACGAAGGGAAGAAAGAATTTTGAGACTGCTAATTTCAATATTACTAACAGCATATTTTAAAAAATAAAGCCGTATTCCCTAAAACAAAAAGTATTACCTCTATTAATTACATTCAACAAAGTAGACGCAAATTCATACACAGCATCACACTAATTAAAATGAGATACGCACTTTAAAATTTTGAAGCTATTACAGACAGCATTCAAATGTTTCTAGATCAAAAATAATATGGGAGCTAAAAAGTAATAAATTTCGTAAAAAAGCTAACGCAATTAGCATTTCTTATAAAATATATACGCGGATGCATTCTTAAATATTATTATTTATTTATATATCTATTATTTAATGCAATTATATATATATATATATATATATGATAGGTTAAAATATTATTTATGCAGAAAACAGAGATTATCTCCAGTATGATTAAAAAAAAAATTATGATATTTTTATTTCAGGAAGACGAAAACATGATGTGAAGCTGAACACACGTACACAGACATATTAAGAAGCTTGTTTATATACAAAAGCTGAGCGAAAGAAACATATCAAAATAATTTTAAAGTTAAGACACAATAACACGCCGAATAAATACTAATTCAGAAGGGTATTTATAGGATTCCTTGCCAGTGTGGTTTAATTTACATTGGCCAAACTAAGAGAGCCTTAAAATTTCGCGTCAAAGAACATGAGATACATGTTAGAAAAAAGGAAACACAGAAGTCTTCTGTTTGCTCAACATTGTTTGCCCCGAAAAATCACACTTTCAATTTTTTCTGCTGCCAAATTATTCAAAAAACATCTTCTATTGGAGAACTGGATTTTCTAGAGGCATTTCACATTCATAAAAATCTTCTGTCTAGTTAACGATCCTAAATTCCAATCCAAATTGCCTCGGCTTTAGAGAAATTATGTTTTAGTTCTGGTTTCGTCGCCAACAGATGGTGCCACTTGCTTATTCTTGTCCAGGCTTTCTTATTTTATCTAATCATTATTTTCTATCTTGTTCATTTGCGCTTTTGCAGCTGAAGATGATGGTTCGGTAAAACCATCGAAACTAGTCCTGTGAAAATTTTTGTAAATATAACGCTGATTTTTGTTGTTTGCCTTCTGAATTAGTATAATTTTAAAGCTTTAAAATTTTACGTGATGATTGCTTTTAAGAAATTTTGTATTATGTATTTGTATTAAATTAATATTGCATGAAACTGATGGATATGTTATCCGTCCAACAGTTATGTGTTGCGAATAATTATTTAAATACAATCGTAAATTTTTTTTAAAAAGGAAGAAAACTTTGCAGTATAGCACGCAACAATATACCATCCTATGTTACTATTAGTTACAGCGGCACATTTTAATAAAATACACTTTTTGTTAATAAAGAGCCACATTACAAACAGAGAACGTATAGCAGAGTGTAGCAGAATGTGAGCGCCGCCTAGTGATGAATTTCGCGAAAGCCACCAAAACCCATGGACCTTATAAGGTCCATGCCAAAACCTGGGAACCGGAATTCAGTCTGGCAGGCTTTGAGTATAAGTTGGCCTAGATCCCACTTAACAATCCGTTTTGGGGGAGGGGAAAGAGTCGTTCATTGTGTCCGTACGTACATACGTCACCCAAAAAAATTGTCAACATATATTCCGTAATGGGCAAAAATGGATATTTCCGTAGAAATATGATATCCAATGTTTTTTGCGATTACAATACTTACTTCCTTTTTACTTCGTAAAAGTAAGTGAAGAACGTATATTAACCTACATATTCTAAGTGCAGTATATAAATATTTCTAATCAATAAAATCTCACAATGGCACCCTCAAGAGAAAATCAATAATTATCCAAATTTTTAAATTACGATCATAATATGCACTATAAATCTTAATGTAAACCAAAGCAAATACAAAATAACGCTTCACGCTGTAAAATGGATTTGTGAGTACCGAATCGGTACTTCAAGTCAACCGATCTACCTGTTACTCGGTAACGAATACATGCGGTTTGCTCTAGCTCTAGAGAATATCTTTTATCCGAGATGTTACGTGAAAAGTACCAAAATAAAGACAGCGTGTTTTTGTCCTACTTAAGACGTACATTTTGGAAGATAAAATATTTCGTGTTTAGCATATTAATATATGGACAGAGCAATATATTATAACGGACTTATTGCTGAATTAATAAATAACTTTGCCGGTGCTTGAAAGAAAGCCCGGAGGCACATGTCATATAAAGTTCCAGACGTGGGATTAATCCCAGTAGTAGACACCAGAAGTAAAGCTACGATCTCGGAGGAGGCTGGAGCAGGAGAGGCCACGCAGGGCACAGCAAAGCAAGACATCCTGAAAAGTCACCGTAATGTGGTGCCATCTATCGATGTTAGAGGTAACTAGTAGATCAGTCATCTTTCAATAGCAGATTTAAATTAAACATTTATGCCATCTAAAAGTTCAACAAGGCACAGCGCGAGCTTGAATTTTTCTGCTGCAGTCTTCATTTTCTTGAATTCATCAATAAATGTAATCAATCTGTTGACGACGTCTTTTATTTTGTCAAAGTCCATTTCTGAGGGTCCAGAAGAATCATTTGAAAATGTAGTCATAGAAGCGGTAACATTCTGTGGGGAAACAGCTTTTTTAAAGTCCTTGGGGGGTGATGGAGCTTAATACGAGCAATACGAGACCTACGAACTTTTGGATACAGTTCACAACCTTTAAAAGAGGCCAAATGATTTTTTCCGCATCGGACACAAGTTTGTTTATCCTCTTTCGGACGTTTACAAGTGTACGTGATATGATCTTGACCACAGATTAAGCATCATGGAAGGTTGTTGCAAAAAAGTTGACCATGGCCAAAACGTTGGCATCTAAAACACATCACGTAGTGCGATTGCTACGATATTTACAAATACGGAACTCTAACGATTAACGCGAAGTCTGATGTACGTTGCAACTGCTACAAGACCTGATTTAGCTTATGCTATAAGTATTGTTTCTGAAAATCTTGAAAATCCCAGGGCCTCAGATTGGTGTGCTGTAAAGCGAATCTTTAAATATCTAAGAGAAATTGTAGATTTTGGCTTGTTATATCAAGCAAAGTCTCATCCCAATGAGCTTGAAGTGTACAGTGATGCTGATTATGCAAGTGATTTAAAAACAATACACTCAAGAACTGGAATGATCTCTAAATTTTTATGTGGAACCCTCTCATGGATGAATCAAAAGCAGAAGAGTGTGGTGTTATCTACTACAGAGGCCGAATATGTTGCTGCGAGTGAAGAGTGTTAAAGAAGTGCTAATTTGGCTGAAACATCTGCTCAGTGACATAACAAATCTTCGAAAACTTTCCTCTCTTCTGGTAGATAATGCTAGTGCTGTGAAAACTCGCCAAGAATCCTGAATACCATAAATGGTCCAAGCACCATAGATGTCCGTTATCACATTTGTGCGAGAAAAATTCATTGATGGTGAACTGTTCATCAAGCATGTTCCTGGTAAAATGCAATTAGCTGACATCATGAATAAACCATTGCTTAGAGTTAAGTTCAAAGAACTGTGTACCTTGTTAGGACTGTTTAATAGTCTTGTTAATGAATGTTAATTTAATCTTAAATAAGTTGTGGTTTGTGGAGGAAGTATTGTAGAAACTACTCAACTTTGTATCAGGCAAGAGACAACTCAAATCTTATGTTGACTGTAGCATGCAGTTACGTTACTTGCTCTTAATTGTACTTCATTAATTGCTTTTCATTTTAGCCCATAGAGAGTATTATAGATAACCTCATCAAACATTCCAAACAGGATAACCGGCTTCACAAAGTTCAGTTTTGATTTCGTCAATAATGGGAAAATAAATTCGAAATCTTTCAGTTTTTTTGTTATTAATTAATTAATCATTGAATGAAGTCCAATTAAAAAAAAAAAAAAGCAAGCTTTGAAAAGACAAAAACCAAACGATTTAACGCGAAGAATAAAAAATGGTGAATCTTCAGTGAAGCTTTTACTCAGAGATAGTTCAGTATCTGATGTAGGGGCGTAGCTAGTTACCAGCACCCGGCGAGAACCGAAGAATTTGCGCCCCTTTCTGTGTGCCAAGAATTAAAAACATTTTGTTAAAAAATTTTGTAGCATCAATTTGGCTCCCCTTGGATGCTGCGCCCGGAAACAGATGTTCCCTCTTGCCCCATCCTAGCTACGCCACTGATCTGGCGTTTAGTTTATAGAGAGTATTCTAATGTCTAGGGACCGATAGTTCATGATAAGACTTTAATATGATATCACGATATCAAAATCGGAATGAATATCGATTTTCATACTGCACGCTTTATGATCAAAACCGATATTACCTCAAATTATGATAGCTGATTAAAATGTTATCATGACCCAAATGAGCATCGTTCCGGACTGCAATACGCTGTATAAACTTGGCAACAAAAAAGTGAATCATATATGGGGAAAAGCTTCTTTGAAAACTTTGTTTTTAATTATTATTTGTGTTAGTTATTGGTACTTTTGTCTGTTAAAAAAACCGTGTTTTACTTTTCGTTTTTGGTAATCGGATTTTTTTCGTCAAAGCAGGTCTCTACTACTAAGATGGCACCAAAGAAGAAGAAAAGAAACATGCATATCCTGACCTTTACTTTTACAACATATTATTTTAGTAACCACTTTCATTGTAAATCCAATAGCTTTCTGTAAATGGAACTTTCCCGTCTCATATCGAAAGAATATAGTTCTGACTATCCAGTAACGTGTTTCCATTTGCTTGGAAGTGCGTATTATTAAGAAATGTGAAATGAATGGTTACAGTGCGAACGGAGTGTATGTTATGTACGATATTACGTGAAAAGGTTTTAAAAAAAGAAAAGCAGTATGCTTCCAAAATGGTAGTTATCAAGTAGTTAAGGATTTGTCCTACTTATGACGTGCATTTTGGAAGACAAAACGTTTCGTGTTTAGCATATTAATATACGGAGAAAACTCGAAAGAATATTTCTATTTCATTCGTAGAGTTTACTATTTTCAAAAGGTATAAAGATTATTATTTATTTTCTGTGAGAAAGATATCTCTCATAGCAAACCTCAGATATTTTAATGTCACTTCTTTAATTTAAAGATGACTATGTCAATGTTTAAAGTGATATCGTTGTAAACAATTTTTGTTATAATTACCCTAGAGAGGTAAGAGTACAGGACGAAACCTGAAAGATCATCTGTCTATAATGAGAATAGGAGCTCTCGTACTTATTATTAGCCACGTTTCTCACGCGCATCATCCTTTAATTACATAAAAATAGAATTTACATGGTAGAACTAATTTTAATTTGAAATAAGAAATTCACGTCCGAAAAGCTATTTAAACAAGATTAATTTCATGTACTCAGAAGATGCATTTTAGAGAGAACTGGTGTCAGTATGCCTGCGTTTGCATTCAGTCGAGACCATAATAACTCCTGGAATTTAACGAATCAAAGTATTATAATGTTAAATTCGGGGTAAATTCTTTCGTTTCTTTTATATTTCTTTAAATGAAGCATAAATATTTGCAAATTCGCTCGTTTTATTAAGGAACGAAGCTCTCATTCGAATACTTTACAGACTACACCTACTTGAATAACTAAATATCACCTTCTCCGAAACGAACATTTCAAAACGGTCTGCAGATCGAATTTATGGAAGCTCTCCGTATGTTTCATTTCGACCTAAAAACAACTTAATTATCACTTAATATCCGTTGTGCTCCTTCACAGTTTCCGCTTCTTCTTTCACAAACTCTCCGATGTTTAACAAACATGTTTATGAACTTTGGCTTCCGCTAGATGGCACCACATGGTTAGAACTTTGTAAGTTACCTTGCTCTTGTCTTTCGCTCGACGACATGTTCATGCTTAGCGGAACGGCATGTTCATGCTTAGCGGATTCTGAGCGCGTATCAGTCTAGAGTTTTAATGCCTGTAAAACTAACATTGGAGAGCTTAAAAATAAATGTTCTGCAGCCGCTAGTTAAACTTCCTCATGATGTCGTAAACTGTATTTCACTAAGGCACCTCCCACCATTAAGGAGACACGCCTTCTCTAAAATTTAATAGGAATTTACATTCAGTTTTTTGGAAGCTTAAGTTTTTTCTGCTTGACCTTGACTTACTAATAAGTTATTAACGGAAAAGTGGACGTGATAAGAACCATGGAAGATTTTAAAATGCTACATAAAAATGTCATTAAGTTACTTTTGAACAAAAAAACAGACGAATCAGTTTAGTGCAGTTTTGAAAATTTAGTATGTTTGTGTCATTATCTGTTGAGAAACTGGCTGATCCAGTGTCTTGTTCGGTTGAGACATTTCCGCACTATTTTTGCATTTTTCATGATTTGCACATTGGGATCCCAATGCTGGATACATTTCATTCACATGCTTATTGTTTTAACTAGCGGCCTCTGAGCGCGTATCAGAGTATCTAGAGTTTTTACGCCTGTAAAATCAACATGGAAAACGCAAAAATAAATGTCTTGCAGCCGCTATTTAAATTTCCCCAGGATGTAGTAAACGGTGTTTCAGTAAAGTACCTCCCACGATTAAGAAGCCACGCCTTTTCTAGAATTAAAGAGCAATTTAAGATTCAGTGGACGCTTCGAAGATTCCCTTTTCAGCGCAACTCTGACAATAGATGGCGACTCCTATGCAGTCATTCTCTCAATACTTCAGAAGATTACTATATGCAAGATCTGCTTAATACGACGTTAAAACTTAAGAAATGAAGCACTTTTCAATGATCTTCCTCCTGATTACCCAGGAGTTTTTCTCCATATGCTCATCCCAAGTAAGGACCCGTGAAAGACCGTTCTGGGTGTCTTCGTCAATAATACGAATACGTAGACCATGCGAATATATTGACGAAGATGCCATAAAAGAACATAAGATTTGCATTATCGTTGATATCTGTGCTTTCATCTATTTGCAAGGAGAAAAAACTTGCTCTTTTTTACTTGAGCAACTAGTTTTTCTTCTAAATGTTTCGCGCAATCATGTTTCGCGCAATCATCAATTCTCTGTTTAACCGTATTATTTGATAATGGTATCGCCGAAAAAAAACATTTTCCCCTTCTTCTACATAAATTATTTGTGACAATTTTCAAAGCGGGAAGTATTAATTTTCTCCAGCCACTATGAGGAACCCCATAGTTATGGGAAATTCAAAAAAAAAAAAAGGTTGTAAAGTGAGTTGTTTATTGTTGGTGAGGTAAGAGTGTAGTTTCACTTTTTTAGTAGCAATCAATTCATTTTCTTATCAGTAAAAAAAAGTTAAAGGGTTATGACGAGTATGAGAAGGATGTGTGTTTAAATGTCCCCCCGGTGGTAGACGTAGGAACTCCGCGAAGGCTACTGGCTCAGGAAGGTATAGGCCATCTGGCCAGGGGGTGTATAAATTTTGAACTTGGTGGTCTTCGAAGGCTCTGGGAAAGGTCAAGTTTGCCGGCGGGAGTATGGAAAGTCCTAGAGCGGCCGTGGTTCTAGTAACCAGGGGGTCTCCCCCGGTGTGCTGGGTATGTCCGATGCGACGGGCTCGCCCAAGCGGATGTAGGAGCATTAGACGACCTGGTTGCCTGGCTGGGGCATGACCCCAGGTAGGGCGCTGGAAAGGGAGGGTGGTAATAGTGTGAGTTCAACCTCCCACGTGCCAAAGGGGATGGACCTGTAGTGGGCTTAGTTCCCGGAACAGGGCAGCCAAAATCCTATAGTGTGTTTAAATGTCGTTTCAACTTTGACGGTTTGATACTTTCATTTGAAAGTTGCTCATTGCAAGTAACATATAGCGGCAAATTATTTTGACTGCCGCCGGCAATGAACCCGAAACGTAAAATTTGGTCAAAATAGTTGCGAGTTCAAGCAGCTTTACGCTTGTTATTTTGACACTGTATATCTGATTTAGGTGCTTCAGACACAGTTTCTTCACGATCATGATGTTCAGCTTTGATCGTTGCTTGGTTGATCATCATGATTTAAATCTGTGGTTTTCTTGATTAACCATTTATCCATTTTTAAAAAAGGTTGAAAGCTTTAATAAAAATAATTTG